AAAATAGGGGCGCCTGGGTGGCTCAGTTGTTAAGCGTCTGCCTCTGGCTCAGGTCATGATCCCAGGGTCCTGGGATCAAGCCCCGCATCAGGATCCCTGCTCGGCGGGAAGCCTGCTTCTCCCTCTCCCTGCTTGGTTCCCTCTCTTGCTGTCTCTCTCTCTGTCAAATAAATAAATAAAATCTTTAAAAAGAAATCTTTATAAAATAGAGAAATCAGGGAAGGCCTCACTGAAGACGTGACATTTGGACAATGACCATGGGGGAGACGAGGGAAGGAGTGATTTCAACTTTAGGGGCACCTGGGTGGCTCAGTCAGTTAAGGTTAAGCGTCCGACTCTTGATCTCAGCTCACGTCTTGAACAGGGTGGTGAGTTTAAAAAAAAAAAAAAAAAGTAAACTTTCCAGGGGAAAAAGTGAACTAGGTAGAAGTAGCAAATGCAAGGTCTCTGAGGCCAGTGTGTGCTAGGCATGTTGAAGGGGCCCCAAGGAGTCCAGTGGACCTGGAATATAGCAGTGAATTGGACAAGAACTGAGAGATGGCTGAGAGGGGAAAGACAGGTTGTGTGGGGCTTTACAGGTTACTGCAAAGAATTTGGATGACAGATATAAGTGACTTGGTTTCTACCAGGATCTCTCCGACTGCTATGTTGAGAAGGGACTCCAGGTTGAAAGGCTGGAAGGGAAGGAAGCTGGGAGAACAGTGAGGAAGCTACTGCCACAGTCCCGGTGGGAAATGGCTGTGGTGTAGCATAAAGCGGTGATTTTGTTTCTAGTCACACTCAACACACTTAATACTGATTCAACAGTATTATCTAATGTATAGTCCGTATTAAAATTTCCCTCCCGAAGTGCTTTTTACATTAAGGAGAAAACCTTGATCCAATCGAGGCTCACCTAATGCGTTTAGTTCTCACCTCTTTCCCGCTTTGGTATTTTTAAGAGCTCAGGAAAGGTGTTTTGCAGCCTATGTCCCACATTCTGGATTTGTCTGATTGTTCCTCTATAGTTGGGTTCAGGGTAGCTATTATTTGGGCAAGGATTCTACAGAGGAGGCATAATGCCATCCCCATTGCATCATATCAGGAGACACATAATATCAGATCCATTATTGGTGACGCTAAGCGATAGTGTTGGTGATTAGATCTCCCGGTTAAGGTGGTGTCTGCCAGTTCTGTCCACTGCAAAGCAAGTTACTCCGTGGGATGATACTTAGGGACTGAATATATAGAGAATATACTGTTGCCAAACAACCTTTCGCCCAGTGGCTTTAGCATCTAATGAACAACCCGGTGGCTTCTGACCTTGGGCCTCAGTTTGCTCATCTGAACAATGAGGGTAACAGCGATCCCAAAAGGATGCTTGTTTTGAGGATCAGTACTTGGCACACAATAAACGCTCCGTAAATGTTAGATATTACTGGACGAAGGCAAGTGTGACAAGATTAAGGGCAGGGCCAGAGCAGCATTCTAGTCCTCCGGACCCTGCCGCAGCTCCCAGGCAGTGATCGAGGGAGAGCGGCCAGAGGGTCCACACCGCCACGCCCTCGAGCCGCGGGAGCTGGGCCGAGCGGGGGCACCTAGCGCCCAGGCCGCGCAAGGCCCCCTGGGACCGGTAGTGCTGGGCGTGGCCTCGGGACTACATATCCCGGAGGCCCCCGCGCCGCGGCTCCAGGCGCTGCCGCCTCAGCCCCTCCACAGCGACGGCGGCGGCCGCGGCGGCTGAGTCGGTGGTGGCGGCAGTGGTGGCGGCTGCGGGCTGAGCGGCGAGGTTCCGATTTAAAGCTGAGCTGCGAGGAAAATGGCGGCGGGCGGTGAGTGGAGATAAAGGAGGAGCGGCGGCGGGCGAGGGGGTGGAGTGCGAGGCGGAGGGAAAGAGGGCGAGTCCCGGGGCTGCCGCGAGCCGGAGGCTGCGGCTCCGCGGAGGCACTGAGGGGCGCGCCGAGAGGGGGGCGCGCTGAGATAGTTTCGGGGTGTCGGGGCCGCGCTGCTTCTCCGCAGTCCGGGGCGGCCCGCAGCCGGAGGAAGGGGAGTCGAGGTGGGGCGGCAGCCGCCTTAGGGGTGCAAGGAGGTCCCCGCGCGGAGGGGTCACCCCGACGAGTTTGGGGGGACCGCGGGGGCCCGCTTTTCCTTCCTGTCCCTAAAGTTTTATCTTCTCCCAGCCCTTAGGGCTGCTTTAGAACGCTCCCCGCGCCCCCCTCCTCCCGCTGCCTCGGCTCCTTCGCAGTTATTCTGAAGAATTAGGGGGCGGGGGAAACCGCACAGACCCCACTGACCCCCACACCAGCCTCCCAGTCGCACGCAGAATCGGGCTGCATTTTGTTGCTGTGTTTCCTCCTTCACTTGGGCATTTTTAATATTTTAACTCGAATTATCTGCGGAATTTCGTTTTGGGCACGGGTAGGTTCTCCGCAGTTTTCTCAGTGAAAAGGCATTTTGCTACCTCTGGTGTGAAGGTTGGGAAATGGCAAGTGGGAAGTTGGCGGATCAAATTTGGGGTTTGGCTGTCTTTATTAGTACTATTTTTCCCGTCCCCATCTCTGATCTTACATACATTGATTCAATTTGTAATGATTTGAATTGTCTTGCACATGCTTTAAAAAAACAAACAACCCCAAACCAAAAAACCATGAGTCGTTGTAAGGCTTAGTTCCTTCTAGTTTGAGGGCACTTAGGGTGGAAAAGTTAACCAAAAGAGCAGTTGTGAGAGGGAGAAAGCATCGTTTCAGAATCTCACTAAGCAGGAGGAGTTCGGGATTCCTAAATGGAATGACATGAAAAGTATGAAATTCTCCCGAAGTCGAAACTTCTTTTTTCCCCTCCCGAATGTGAAGACTTCCTTTTTTGCAGTTTTTGAGCAGCGCTTCAAAGCCAACCTGTTTTTGTTATTAAGCCTGTACCGTAAAGAAACAGGAAGGCGAGTACCAGCTGTCTTGCTGCAGTGGGTTTAAATGGATTTGAATGAGATGAGTGAGTGGTAGTAGTATTGAGTGAGATTGCTGCATCTCCTTGATTTAAATGCCTGGCCTCGGATCCACCTAACTGGTCCCTGGCTGCAAGAAAGCTTCAGTATGTGTTGCAGCAGGTTGTATAGAGGATGATGGAAAAAACCAACCCCCCCCTCCCAAAAAAAGAAAACAACAACAAAAAACCCCCAAACATAGGTCTTGTGAATGCCGCATAAACTGTTAAACGGAAATCTGGAAGTTCATGAAATGTTCTTGAAAAAAATTTAAATTACTGCTCTATTTAGAATAGGTTATACCAGATATAATACCCAACTGGAAAGGTACACAAACACTGAAAAATGAGTCTCTCCTCTAAACCCTCCAATTTGGGCTCCTTGGAGGCAGTGACTATTACTGGTTTCTAGAGTATCTTTGGTCTTTGGAATAATTATTTTAAGATTTTTATTTGAAACATATCCTTGTTGGGTGCCAAAGCAGGAAAATAAAATGAACAGGAGAAAGGGAAAATGTGGAGGGAATATTGTTTTCTTTTCACTGTCTTGAACAAATGTTGATAGCTATTAAGAAAGGGCTTCTGAACTTACTGCTTATGTTGCCTTGTGTACTAACACCCTTAAAGAAGTAACAGTCTATGGGGCTTTAGGATGAAGAATGCTGCCAGGGTTCATTGTTTGTATGTAAGATGAAGCCTCTGTTTGTAACATGTAAAATGATATTGAACACTATGGCTCCTGTCACTGGAGGTTGCTTCAGGTTCTGCATTTAAATGAGCAGTAATCTAGGTTGCCTGTGATCCTAAATTATAGTGGTATTTTCTGTATTGATAGAAGTGACTTAATTGTCCAATCAGTATTAAAAAAAGGTATATGCCAGCTTCTAGCATATAGAACTACATTTTGGACATGAGGATTGTGGAATAAATGGGAAGCTTTAATGTTTCTAGAGGAATTGTAGGAAATATTTTTACCATAAAATATTCCTTACCAGAGGCTTTGAAAATGCAAAACAGCCTCAGCATAATTAACAGATTTTGTATTTTTGTAAGTTTTAGAATGGTGGTTTGAAATTTACCAACACTGACAATTCATTAAAAAAATTCAGTGATACTAGAGTTTAGGCTATTAGGAATTATATTAAATCATTTCACTATATTTTGAAATTCAGTATACTGTGCACCACCCCCCCCCAAGAGTTACTTCTTGGGGCACCTGGGTGGCTCAGTCGATTAAATGTCTGCTTTTGGCTCAGGTCATGATCCCAGGGTCCTGAGATCGAGCCCCGCATCAGGCTCCCTGCTCAGTGGGGAATCTGCTTCTCCCTCTTCCTCTGGCTGCCGCTCCCCCTGCTTGTGCTCTCTCCCTCTCTGTCAAATAAATAAAATCTTTAAAAATTAAAAAAAAAAGATTTCTTATATCAGGGATATATTCTTATCCCTATTTAAGAATTATTTCAATAAATCCTCCCCCCCAACAAATAAATTAGAATTCATTCAGTAAGGAGTCTGTGTACTGTTGGACCCTGGATCCTTTTTCTAGGCAATGCGAAATAAAAAATAGTTTTTGAAATGGTCACTTACTAAAGCCTTCTTGACTGGTCTTTTGAAATAAACTTCCTTACTGTGTCAGGGACATAATAAAGAGAAGTTTTTTTTTTTTAATTGTTTTTATTTAGTCTTTTGTGTATTAACTGTATGATTCTAGAATATTTTTTATTTTTTATTTTTTTAAAAGATTTTATTTATTTGACAGCGTGCGAGAGAGAACAGCAGGCAGAGGGGCAGGCAGATGGAGAAGCAGGCTCCCTATTTCGCAGAGCCCGATGTGGGGCTTGATCCCAGGACCCTGAGATCATAAACTGAGCTGAAGGCAGACACTTAACTGACTGAGCCATCCAGGTGCCCCTCGAATAGTTTATTTTAAAGACTACTGTGTTTTTGAGAAGTTTTTTAAAAGAATAATTTAAAAATATTTTAGTTTGGACAGTAGGGTAAGATAAAAAAACAAACTACTATTGTTCTGTGCCAAATTGGTGTTAAAATAAATGGCTTTAGGGTTTCTTTTGCATTTTTTTAGACTATATAATGTCAAGCCTTGGCCTGAGGATGTAGACTACTTTTGAAAACTAGATTTGTTGCAAGTTTAGAATGAGTATAGCCTCCAGTGGCTGTCTACACTGGAAAGCAACCACAATTTAATGCAGTTGTTAATCTGATGCTACCTAGGACTAGAAAAACGAATTGTTGATCATGTTGACGAGTTTCTCACAGGTTAAACCAGAGAGTACCTGTCCCAGTTTGGTTTGAACTTACTATATATTCTGTAGTGTAGAATATTCTTTTTTTTTTTTTTTTTCCATTATTGAGTGGTTAAAGCTCTGAGAGCAGAAAATTAGTACTGGAAATGTATATTAACTTTTCTTCTTTCTCATAGTTCAACAGATTAAAGAAATAGGTGACTGTATGTTTAGATCCTCACGGATAGCATTGAGATTGAGTACTGCAGTAAAACGTAGGCATTTTCTTCTGTTTTAATGAGTGCTTTTTGGGGGTGGGGGAGGGGATTACAAAATGAACATTTCTCCGTTAAAGTGGAGGAGGGGCTCTATTGTAATGAGGCTTATTCCTTCATTTTGTTAGTGTTTGCTGGGTAAATTCATTTAGCCCATTGGATTTCTTTTTTTTTTTTTTTAAAGATTTTATTTATTTATTTGACAGAGAGAGGTAGAGGCACAGCGAGAGAGGGAACACAAGCAGGGGGAGTAGGAAAGAGAGAAGCAGGCTTCCCACCGAGCAGGGAGCCCGATGCGGGGCTCGATCCCAGGACCCTGAGATCACGACAGGAGCTGAAGGCAGTCGCTTAACCAACTGAGCCACCCAGGCGCCCCTAGCCCATTGGATTTCTGATAGGGTTTCTGGGAGATTGTTTTGGGTTAAGGGTGCAGTTTATCCAGAGTCTAACCTTATTTTCAGCTCCTAACAAATGATGGAATTGACTTGAATTTAATCGCCTTTCCCTTTCCTACCTTCTGGTGGAGAGTTGTTAAATGAACAGGAAAATGGCCAGAAGATACACAGCAGGAGTTGAAAGGAAGACCTGTGCTGTCTAGGAGGCTGATTTAGCCACAGACTGGATAATCTTAGACTACATACTGCCAGTTCCCAACTTTGTCAGCATTAACTCAGTTTGGTAGGTTCTGCCAGCCTGCCTGGGTCAATTTACAGGGGGGTAGTAATAAAGGTTTATTTAACTGTAGTAAATTTTGTGGCCTAGAGGCAAAGGAAAGAAGTCTGATCTATCTGGCAAACGGGCTTTACCCATTTCAAAGAATATTTTAAGAGCAAATGGACTGGTCTTTTTTTTGAGTGTAACTTTTCTTGTCTGCTGGTCACCTATGAAGGTATTCTTCTGAAATGTTTAGTTTCTTTGGTTAGACGTTATGAGTGAGGGTTCTGAAGTTTCACTTTTTGGAAACTAGGCTAATTAGATTACTAAATTTAACTCTTCCTCATCCATGTAAGGATGAAAAGGGAATATTGGCATGAGTACCACATAGTAATGGATAATCTACTGCTCCCTGGGGCTTTGCTTCTGGTGGCTATAGCAGCTGAGTAGGAGTGGTAGATGGATAGATGGGAAAAGACTGCAGAAGTCAGCATAATCCTCAATTAGGATAAGCCTCATGGTTAATTGAATGTTGAGTGTACAGGTTAAATCTCATTATAACAAACTCCAGGGGCCTAGCTAAATTATTTTGTTGTACTGGGATTGAGCGTTTTTGAATATTGTTTGAAATAGATTTGTCTTTGTTTTTGTTAGAGGTGTTGGAAAAATTTTTATTTATTGTAA